AATCAGATAATGGTGGTGAATATGTAAAACACCAATTTTGTGAGTATTTTCAACAACATGGCCTTATTCATGAGACTTTATGCCCCAAAACTCCTCAGCAAAACGGAATTGCTAAGCGAAAAAACAGACATGTTCTTGAAACTACTCGAGCTCTCTTAATTGGCGCCCATGCTCCTAGTCTTTCTTGGGCTGATGCCGTTACCACTGCGGTTCATCTGCTCAACTGAATGCCCTCTAAGGTGTTGGACTTCAAAACCCCATTACAAGCACTCTCGGCATATACTCCTGTGCCTTCACTGTTGATGCTTCCACCTCGTGTGTTTGGGTGCGTAGCATATGTCCATCTCCATAAGGACCAGCGGACTAAGCTTGATCCTTGTGCTCGTAGGTGCTTATTTTTGGGATATGCTTTTCATCAAAAAGGCTATAGATGCTACGACCCCATTTCTAGTCGCACCTATATTACTATGGATGTCACCTTCATGGAGACCGAAACTTTTTTTCCACCCACTTCTCCTCTTTAGGGGGAGACTAGACAGGAATAGTTGGATTGGATGGAATTAAGCTTATCTGAAACATATGTGGAACCGAAGCAAGCAGAACTGGAACTGAGTCAAGCAGAACATGTCTCTTTGGCTACTGAACACCAAGCAGAATGTGTCTCGTTGGCTTATGAACACCAAGAAAATGATCACGAAGCAGCAGTTTCTTCCCCCTCCGCGGTACCTGAAGACCCAACTCCTAAGAATGATCATGAGGTAAGCTCCTTTAACACAAATATCATGGCATCTCCTATTGGTTATGTGTTACCTGACAGGCACAATCGTGGCAAGCCTCCAAGCCGCTACTCACCAGACATTGAGAAAAGAAGATCAAGATACCCTATTGCCAATAATGTGTCCACAAAGGAGCTGATTGCACCTCTCAAGATATTTGTGCATAGCATTTCAGTGTGTTAAGTCCCAACAAGGGTGGAGGAAGCCTTAGAAGACCCGAAGTGGACTCAGGAAATCAAAGATGAAATGGAGTCACTATTGAAGAACAAGACATGGAACCTAGTGCCATTACTGGAAGGAAAAAAATAGTGGGGTGCAAGTGGGTGTTTTCCATTAAACACAAAGTTGGCGAATCTGTAGAAAGGTACAAGGCAAGACTCGTGGCAAAAGGGTATACTCAAACATATGGTATAGACTATCAACAAACTTTCTCACCGGTAGCTAAATTAAATACTGTTAGAGTGTTGTTATCTCTTGCAGTAAACTTAGATTGGCCATTACATCAATTGGATGTGAAAAATGTCTTTCTCCATGGCAAACTTGAAGAAGAAGTTTATAAGGACATTCCGCCAGGCTACTCAGTGACCACGGGAACAAATGAGGTGTGCAAGTTGCAACGAGCCTTGTATGGATTAAAACAATCGCCGCGGGCGTGGTTTGGGCGATTTAGCTTGGCAATGAAGAAGTATGGTTTCCAACAAAGCAATGCAGACCATACTTTATTTCTCAAAAAACAGCAAGGCAAAGTAACAGCTCTAATTGTCTATGTTGACGATATGATCATTACAGGAGATGATATCGAAGAAATATCACAGATCCAAGGGCAAGTGGCTAGTGAATTCGAAATGAAGAATCTAGGTGGACTCAAGTATTTCCTTGGGATAAAGGTTGCTAGATCAATCCAAGGCATCTTTTTGTCTCAAAGAAAATACATCCTAGATTTATTATCTGAAGTTGGACTGTTGGAGTGCAAGCCAGTGGATACCCCAATTGTCCAAAATCACAAGCTTAGGGTCTATCCGAACAAAAACCCAACTGACAAGGGAAGATACCAACGGTTAGTTGGCAAGTTGATTTATCTCTCTCATACTCGTCCAGCCATTGCATATGTTGTGACTGTAGTGAGTCAATTTATGCATTGTCCAAGTGAGGAACACATGGAAGCAGTAATTGGGATACTAAAGTACTTGAAGTCCTCTCCAGGAAAAGGGCTCATGTTTTCTAAGAATGATCATGTGGAAATTGATGGCTATACAGATGCAGATTGGGCTGGCAACATCTCTGATATGAAGTCGACGTCAGGGTACTTCACATTTATAGGCGGAAACCTTGTGACATGGAGAAGTAAGAAACAAAAGGTGGTGGCACTCTCTAGTGCAGAGGCTGAATTTCGTGGGATGGCCAAGGGATTGTGTGAGCTTCTTTGGCTGAAAAGATTACTAGCCGAAATTGGTTTTGCTCCCAAGTCTGAAATGAATCTCTTCTGTGACAATAAAGCTGTCATAGACATTTCACACAATCCAGTTCAACATGATCGAACGAAGCATGTAGCGGTCGATCGGCACTTCATCAAACATAACCTAGAGACTAATAAAATTCGGTTCCAGTTTGTCAAGTCTGAAGACCAGCTCGCAGATATACTTACCAAAGTTGTGTCAAGCAAAGATTTCCACAACTCACTAATCAAGTTGAGCATGAAGGATCCGTGTGCATCAACTTGAGGGGGAGTGTTGGCGTGAGTTGTATATTAACGGAAAATTGGAGCAATCATAGGAAGTGAGATGGAAAGAAATTATTTCCTTCACACGTTAGCATAATTATAGGAGTAAAATCTGTATAGCTTAGAATAGAAAATATATTCTTGTAACCAACAATTGCACAAAGAGAGGGTTATGAAATTCTACCCAAGGAACTTTTGACAGACTTCGCAATATTTTTGCCTTTGGTTGCATCACAATTAGCTCATTTGTTGCAGTGCTCAACAATTCAGGTCTTGTGAATGGTTTAGAAGAGGAAGATGATCCTCTATTGATCCCATCAAGTTGGTTTCTGCCAAAAGAATTAACCCGATGTGTGTTCACTTCAATTGATTCTCCACTTGAAGGGCGAGTTGATAGGCTTCCTCAAGACTGAACAAATGAACAGTGATCAATTCTTTCTTGATGTCTTCGCGTAAGCCACTATGACAATGTGCCAGAGATTGGCGCTCTATTTCTATAACACCAATTTGGATAATTAATTCATGGAACTTTACAATATAGTCCTCCATCAATGATAGTCCTTGCCGATGGGTTAGTAGCTTTTCAAAGAGAGATTCTTCATAATCAATTGGTAAAAATTTCTCCTTTAGCCGAACTTTCATCTCTACTTAATCTGTAATTGGTGGTTGATGTAGACATTGAAGTTTTTTCTCCATGCTATGCCACCAAATTCACTTTCATCTTTACGAAATGCACTTTCCATTCACTGGACATGTTAAACCAATTGAAATAATCTTTGGGAGACATGAGCCAATCTTGGAAACTGTGGGGGATCAAGATTGCCTGAATTGTCAGGAACATCCACATGAACTCGCCTTAAAGCTTTATCGAGAGAGTCTTGCTGCTGTGGTCATAGCTACCAGAAAGGATTGTCATAGCCATAATCATGCTGTCGAAAATGAAACTGTGGTTGAAAATGCTCTCGTCGTCGTCGTCGTGGTTGTCTTGGCTGGGGTATTTCACCATCTTCTCCTATTCGCACTTCCATATTTTCTCCAATATGGGGGTTCTCCATTTCACCATGGTCATCTTCATTATTTTGAGGAACGGGGAAAACACGTACCAATACGACATCCATTCTTTGTGATTAAGTTGTAAGATGGTGAAATATTTCGTTCAACACCTCATCTCATTGATTGCGCTGAATTCGGCCATTGTTGTAAGAAAGACCACTTCAAGTATTCATTGTTTCAGAAAAAAAAAAAACAACAGAAGGCTATCAGCGGCGTTGTAAGCCTCTGATACCAAAATTGATGCAGGGCATATAGGGAAAACGAAGAAAGAGGGTCTGGTGAGAGTTTCACTCACGCAGCTCTCAATATTCTGGTGTCATGCCAGAGAGGAAGTGTCACACTTCAAGCCAGAAAATTTGAGATTCATCATTCTCTGCTTTATGTTATTGATCAAGTTCTCCTTAGGTTGAGAAAAACAAGGAAATTCAAATACATAACAGAACTACCAGCTGAAAATCAACTTAACAAACCAACATAAAATCTGCTAAAAAACAGAGTATGCAGCAGAATTTTAACTGGAATTTGAAATCTAATTCCGAGTCAAAGGCAGAGAATTTCAAATTGGAACTGTGCTCCTCATCAATGAGTCTTTTAATAAAAAAATTATCTTTTTGGACTTAAAAGTTTTAAATTGGACTTAATGACTTATAAGTTGTCTTTTATAGACTCGTGGATGTCAATTTTTTTTATTTATTTTTTATTATATCAATAAACTAAGTTCAAATGACATTGATGAACTCCACCTCAATCAGATTAGAATATCTTAGATTGAGATAAAATTGCAGTTTGAGTAAAAGAAAAAATTAATAAAATGGATCAAAACACACAATATAAATTTTGGACTGATAAATGCATGCAGTCTGTGCTTCTTTCTAGATTGTGAAGCTTTCTCTATTTATTTCCCCGTCTTTTTTATGTTAATCAGGCAAGAAATAAATTTTTTTTTTTTATTCTTTCTGGATACTTTTCAACAACATTAAGAAAATAAAACGAACTTTTTATTTCAAGGATTGGAACAATTAGCCATACTGATCTGACACAACATAGCACCGGATAACTTGCACGGATTAGTTTAGTGGTTAAACAAAAAGCGAGATATAAGTTCATAGGTGAGAAAAAAACTCAAACTTAATCGATACCTTAGGTTAGTAGTTGGCTGCATGTATCCGAATCTATGTTATAACTATATTTAAACGAAGAATGGTTGGAACGATTTTCCTTACACAAATCTTTTTTTTTTTTTTTTTTTAAAAGTGAGAGACAGGATATGTTCACTAAAGATGAGGATAATCTGTATGGAGAAGCCACAGCCAGCACACCAATTTGATTTTCCATGATTTATTGGAGGAAGAACCTTATTAACATTACATTAAAGAGGGATACAACCATGAGCCAATCCCTGCAGGTTGCTTCAACCAGCAGACTATTTGGACTGGACTTGGAACTGATCATCAAGCATACTTATTAGCAGCAGCAGCAGCAGCAGGAGAAGCAAAAAAAGAAGACTGTCGTCGCTCCCTAGTAGTGATGACTCTGTGCATGGCTTCCACTAGTCTTTTCACCTTCTGGGTGTTAATTGCAGACTCTTTGCTGCCATTGAGTCTGCTCTCTTGCTCTTGGGTCTCCTCCAGTACTACTCCAGAGCTTGATTCATCCTGCTTAAGCATGCACTTGCGAAGCCTCACGTATTTCATTTCCAAAGCCCCCACTCTCTGCACTGATCAATATGATGGTATCAGTAGGTTACTCTGTGTGTGTATATATATATACAGATATATAAAGTGCATATCATGGATGTAGGTATAAAGACGCTGGAAAAGACAACCACCTGCCGAAAACAGTGTTAGATTGGTGATTGTAATATTCAATGATCAACAAGTCACTTTGCCGTGGTGGGAAAGAAGTTATGCTTCTGGTTTGATAAAGCAAGAAAAGAGTTGTAGTTTACCCAATGTGTGTATATGGCATTGTGACATGTATCACGTTTCAAAACGGCATATTCTCAAGATAGTTCTCACATATAATATATATATATACACATACATACATACATAAAATCCAAAGAATTTTGTATTGGAACAACATAAATCGGAGCAGAATTTGAGACATATAGTCATATAGATACCTTGGTAGCCTACTTCACTACTGCTTCTGCTCTGCAACCTAACTCTATACCTACCTAAGCCTTCCAAAGGGTCATGTTTGAGAGCAAGTCACAATAGCGTCTCCTCACCATTGGAGAGTGACTATTAGGCATCTTTAGTTAGTTCTTCTACTAGACTCCTTCCACTACACGAAAACTTTTTGAATCTAGAGCCTGAATATATATAAAGTAAGTAATTGATAAGAAAAATAATGTAAATTCAGAAATGTATGAGTAGGATAAACACAAGGATGAATAAGATCTCCTTTCAATACTGGAAAAATAGGGATATTTAATTCTGAGTTATGCAAGGGATATTCATTCAAATATTCTTATTTTTGCGTGTCAAAACACGAGGTTAGGATCAGTGACAAAACCAAATGAAGGCCTAAGCCCCCCTCAAATTTTTAAAAATACCTTATATTCCTTCTTAAATTTTTAAAAAAGTTGTTGCAATATTCAGCTACAAACATGACTCAAAGTATGAATAATACATTGAATCAAAATTACTTTTAATTTATTTATAATCACTAAATCATATTATAAGTGAAACAAACAAGTGGCCTTGAAAATATTACATTTATTTTTATAATTGCAGTTACAATTTAGTTTTTAGATTTTATAACCCAAATTAATTTACATGGTATAATTATAAAAAAAAATAAAAAAATAGCATGGTATGGTGTAGATTTTGATAGTTCTATACAAATAAAAATTTGACATTAACGCTAATACTTGACTGGCGTCATTGAATAAAATTTTTGGCTGTGCTACTATTTTTATTAATTTGGCCCCCATATAATGAAATCCTGGTTTCGTCCTTACTTAGGATAATATGTTGGATTGATGTATAATGGGAAATTTAGCCTTAGTTTTTCTTCTGTATATAGAGTGCAAATTGCACCTTTATGTTTATAACAATGACCAGCATCCTTGGATAGATTTCGGGTGGTAGGGTGGTGTATGAAATTATGTTGTATTTAGGATTATTAGTGTGGGTTGGTACCTTATGTTACATAAAATAGGTATATAATTAGATTATATTAAACTGTATAAAATTTAACTTATGTACTAATCTAAACAGAATATATAGTAAATAAAAATAGTGCACTCACAGATACGCAAATCTGCACAAATAGTAAAATAAAAAAAATCAAAATATTCAATTTGAACCTTGTGAAACACAATATCCTTAAGACATATTTGCTCCCTCTCGATGCTCAATGTTGATAGACAACTGCCTCCCAAGATAGAAACGATTATGTCTTTGCAAAAGTAGCACTTCAATCTCCAAAGACCAATGAACACAACTTGTGTTTTATACTTAAACATTATAGAAATGCAATGCAATAAAAGAGAAAGTAGAAAAATCTGAATGAAGACTTCGGGATTTTGGAGATGGGTTAAATTGGCTAGAGAATTGTCTATTTATAGACTCTTGGTGGATGTTCAGATTGCTTGAAAAAGCATAGAGTTGTCACAGTTTGGATTGAAGAGACATACTCTTTTAATCTGATTAGCCACAAAGACAGAAGGTACCTTTCTAGAACAAATAAACAGACTTCTTTAATTTGGCGCCAATTTCAAATTTAACGAGAATAAAATTTAAATGTATTTTGTCCAAAAAAATAATGCTCACAAAAATGTGGTAACTAAGATAGTGTAGTGCTCATTCTACTCACAAAAATGTGGTAACTCTTGGGGCCCAACTTATGAAGTCAACTATAAATATATTAACTCACCAAAATGTTCGTCAAGTCTTATTCCACTACGCTAATCTTAGTTTAAATAGGTCACTTTGAGAGATAATTTGTCATTCAAATTTTAATGGTTTTAGACAAATAAATATATCACGTTTAAACTTGATCCCACCAATTTCGATGTGTGATTCCCACTCTTATTTGAGCCTCAAGTTGCTCAAATAATTTTGATTAAAACCATTTTTTCCAACCCCTTGGCCAAACTAAAGCCGGAGGGGTGGGACTACTACACGGTCAGAGTAGTTTAGGTGGAGAGACATTACTCCTTATTGCGTCGAATTATCAAGGCCGATTGATGCAAGAGAATTCAATTTACCTTATGTCTCTGATTTATAAATGATTGTGTGCATTGTAGCCATGAATAAAAAAGATATTTAGTTGTCCTGACCATTCCTAAACAATCACTTAAAAAACTAGGGAACTTAATGGATTAGAGAAATAGAACAAAGTACCAAAAGGTAGGGTTCAGAGAATCTACGATTTAGAACATCTCTTGTACTGCAGTTAACTTGAAAGAATAGAGCAAGATAAGGAGCCTAATAAACCCAGGTCTCAACTAATCCAAACCACTATAGCCAATGATTTGGTATAAAGCAAAAAGGAGAGGATTTTTATTTTTCTTATTTTTGCATTAAATTATTTCAATTTTGCGTTTGACAATTGGTAAATTTCGGTTGTAATTAGTACCCATTTCAATAAATTTTGTGAATTTTTAACACAAAAAAAATACATAAAACAAGAACACTATCCCCCAAGGTTCATATAATTAGAAAGAAAAAAACAGTGGAAAGCGAAAATGGAAGAGAGTGAGGCGCAAGAAAGAAAAATAATTTATTTTCAAGCATTTGATTACAATGAAAAATGTTATTTTTAAGGTGTAGAAAAATAACATTTGGTCTAATAGTTCTCTTTACCTTGTGAAGGTTTTGTCTTTTTAAGGTCAAGAGTTCAAGTCTCTTTCCTCCCTCCTCCTCTCCAAAAAAAAAAAAATAAGTTGTGGAAAACTTTCATTCAATTTAAAAACCAAAAACAAAAAAAAAATGCTACAAATACTATGGATTGCCATCACCAACTCTTCATTTTCCTCTATAATCATAATCCCTAACTAATAAATTAATTAAAGGAAAACAGGTTATAGGTCAACATTCGATGCTTTGACTTTGAGTCCAACTTGAAAACTTTTAATGCGTAAATTCCATAAAATTTATGATTGACAAAAATACCCTTAAGTAAAATGGTTACCATGTCGAAAGATCCTTGAGAAAAGGACGATAGGTCTTTACACAATCGTTTCGCGTCTAATCGATTTAGAAATTATTGTCCATTTCAATTTTATATTACCCAAATCTACACCGAAATCCACCAAAAAAAAAAAAATTACTCAACTAGAAACCATACGAAAATTGTGTCATCTTTGACAATTGTTGAACTAGAGTCTCTGAATTTTGAAAAACAAATTCATTGAACTGCTCTTGTATTGTATCGTATTCGAAGGAAGTTGGTCCGTTCTTTTTCGCAGTAAATCATTATCAAAATTTGTGCATAAAAGCTTTCAAGTAAGTGATTTTATAGTTTTTTGATTTATTTTGTTTGTTGGGATTTCAAGTAACGAGAGGTAAAATCGATTCTCTTAGTTTTTATACACAGAAACAACGCAAAATATAGCCTCACTGTCATAATCAACAGAAATAACAAAAAATATTTACAAATTCACAGAAAAATGTTCAAATATTGATATTTTTCACTGCAATGAAGCCATAAATTATCATGAAAATATGTCTAAAATTGTTCAATGTCAAATAACATATATAGTGTAAATTTAATGATTGTGATTTGTTTATTTTTGATTAAATTTTGTAAAAAAAAATTATTATTGTGTTGTTGCATTATTTATTGAAACAAAATTTATCGGACAAATTTCACTTTATACCCTAAAAGCACGTAACCTCCTTGTCATTTATAAATGTCCACATAACCCTCTTATGGTTTGTGGAATAACTACAAAGCTATATTTTGTGTCCAATTCAATAGATTTTGTGTGCCACACGCTACTAGTTGGTGTGAAAACAAGTTAAAATGCCAAAACTACCCTCTCCCCCTTTTTCTCTTTCTCTAAACCAGAAGATAATGGTGCCAAAATATATGAAACTTATTTTTTCAATTACTTTTTATTTCGTACCAAACAAACTCTTGTAAGGTTTTAAAAAAAATTATTTTTCCTATATTGTTTGGCATTCTCCATCTAACCAAATACTAAATCAAAAAAAAAAAAAAAAAAAAAGCCGAACTAAACTAAATTTAAATAACAATCAATAATCTACTATGTAATCATTGGGTCCCTTATGGGATTTTCTTTAGTTACAATGATGAACCTAGTTTAAGGAGAAGACACTGATGTCACTATGCAATTGATGGGATTCAATTTTATATCATGCTTAAAGTTTAACTCCTTTTTAATCACTCGATCAATCCAATTTTCTCTCCATTAATTGATTAGGTGGGGGCTATTCCCGTCTTATGAAAATCTATCTCCACCTCATTAATTTTGTGGATAAATTATATTCAATTCCCTTTGAGATTTGTCAATTAATCAGACGAATCCCTTCACGCTGGATAAATACATCAAGACCCCCTGTTAGCAATGATGTACTAACAAATCAGTTAAAATGACTACTTTACCATTGAAAAACAAAATCAATCTAATTTGCATCCGAATATCTTAACAAACACATACTCAAAACTCAAATAGACATCTAAACCCAATCCCTACACAGACCTTATCCCAATCCCTAATTCCACATTTTCTCTCTACCCTTTCTGTCCGTAATCACCACCAATAGCCTCCTTCTCTTTTCCTCTAGTCTCCTTACATCACGCCCCTCACCACAACCGACCATTATCCCCACCATTAATACACCGCCTATGCTTCTCCTATTCTCTACATCACCATCATCACCAACCGCCTTCTCTCTATTCATCACTTTGCGTACCATACCACAACTGGTGCCTCCACCACCGACAACCGACACAAATCACAACCACCACCATCAATGTCGACAATATTCTACAAGTCTACTCTCATAGAACCAATTACAAACCCGTATGAATTAACTCAAATCCAAAAAATCCATAAAAAAATCCCAGGTAGTTATGGTCCTCATTACGTTCACATTCACCTATTTTTCCCATTCAATCCTGTAAATCTTAACTCAAAACCCATCCGTCAAATACCAACATGGTTGTGCAGATTTCATGGAGTATATGATTGTTGACTATGGAATGAAGCTTTGATAAACTCTATAGGGGCCGTTTGGATAGGTGATGTGATTGGGTTATAGTACAGAGGAGGTAGGGATTGGGAGTGATGCAAGTTAGTGATGGTGGTTGTATGACTAGTGCATGGGGTAAATCCTTTGCAACAGTTGAGAAGGCGACACCTGGCTGAATAGGGGTGAGACCCCTACAACAAGGAACAAAGTTAGAAGGAGTGTCCGGTGTTTCCTCTCCGATGTCTAAGTTAGTCGGTATTTAGGCTAAAATTATTGTGGAAACTTTGTAAACTAGGTTGTGCTTGAGTTAAGACCTAACTCTTTAGGCTATTTATACATTGAGAGGTTACGATATAACACTTTGTGAGTCACATAAAGTCAGCAGGTTGGACATCCATTGGGGTAACTTGTTAGAGGCAACTATCTTCTTCGAGCCGTGCATTTACTAGGCCCAAGATAGGCTGGCAGTCACTTGGGGTTAAACATAGCAATGATTACCCTACTTGGGAGACAAAACATTCAATGAGCACCGTCCAAATATTTAATGGTCTCTGTTGGGCATTTAATTAGTTGCATCAAGCATTCAAGAGATGCACACCAACCATTAAATAATATATCTTCTAACCGATATATGTCAGCAAGGGTCATGCCTCTAACCGACTTTTTCAAGATCAAATGAGGACTCTAATATGGATGTGATGACATAGCTAATCATTTTCTATTACCCGTCACATTATTGGACCAATATGTTTGATCGTTATTATTGCTCGGGCCAAGGGGCAAATGTTCTTCCAAGGATCCTGCGAGCATTAAGGGAATTTGAAAGGGCTCGGTCTGCTCAATTGTAGTGCGAGTGAAGGGGAGGGAAAATTAAGTTTGAGTTGTTGGTGGGGACAAGGGTTGAGGAGGGTGGGTTGTGAAGGGATGATGTGTAGTACTGGTGGTGATTGAACTAGTATTGTTGGTTAACAATTTTTACAAATTTGAGGTTTAATTGAAAGTTAAAAATTTCTAGATCATCTATCCCTTTAAGTTTATTCTTTGGCTTTTGTTCATCATTTGATGGGTCTTTATTATGGGCTTTCCTTTTTAGGATTATTCTTTGGAAATCTATTGTCAATCAGAGCCCATTGCTCCCTTGAGTTGGAAGCTGGATCATGGACTAGATTGGTCTTTCTTTCCCTGGGCCTTTTTGACAGATTTCTAGATCTGCTTCTTGGATGGGATTTTTTGAAAAAAATCTCTTCAATTGGGCCTTCATTCCAACTATCGGGTGGCTCTGTTACAAAATAAGCTAGCCCTGAGATGTGGCCCTTTTCTTTGGCTTAATTTGCTCTATGTATACTCAGATTGTTTTGTTCTCTGTCGTTGGATCCTCTTTCTTTATCTTTTTTTAGCAATTAGGGCTAGTCTTTTCATTGGTATCTCGCTAATTTGGGTATGTTCCATTACCGGTGTCTGCTTATTGTCGTGCTCAATGATTCTGATTATCTAACTACGTGTCCCTCCAAGAGAAGGCTCTGTTGATCCGGGCCCGACTCCTTTGCAGTAAACAGGAAACCGCATGATATACGGTTAAGTGGAACGACGTCGTTTGGGATATTTTTTGTAATTTTTTTTTCAATCTTCCTTACCAAAAACGAAGTCGTTTTTGGTCCTTGAAATCAACTATAGCAATCTCCCTTTCTTTCTCCTGCTTCTTCTTCGTCAAACTGGGACTGCTTCTCCTGCCTTCTTCACAACTCAGTCTCCCTCTTCTCAACTCATTCTCCCTCTTCTTCTTCGTAAACCCAGGTAAGAGAAGGTTTTTTTTTATGGAGATAGGGCTCTTAATGAATTCAAATTATGTGTTTTAATGTTTAGGTTCAATCCTGAGTTCGTCTTGGGATATCCAAGGGACCAATCTGTCCAGTTTCATTTGAAGTGTCCATCCTGATAAAGGAATTCAAAGTCATTTTTTCCTATGCTGCTACAATGACCTTTTATTGTTGTTGCATTGGGATGCTTAGACTTATGAACATGAAAATCGCTGTAAGGATGTATTGGATTACTTTTCTCTAGTAGTGATTTTGTTTTGATCCTTTAAAAAAAACAGAGACTATTTTTTGAAGCTATTGATTAATAAAAATAATGAAATAATGAAGCCAATTTCTTTGTACATGCTTTTTTTTGTTCTTGTTAATGAATCGGGTAGCGTCATGTTTTGTGTTTTTTGATCTTGTTGGCTTGTTAATGGATTGGATAGTGTCATGTTTTAAATTCTGAAACTGTTGTTGAGTTGAAATATAAATCTCATAATATAATTATGTCGGATTTGATTAATTTTCTTAAGAATTATGTAACCTTATGTACATGACATCTAGTTCCATCTATGAATGCAAGTAGCCATAGAAGATGCATGTAACCTATTGTTTATTAACAAAGTCAGTATACGGTTGCTGGTATGTTTTAAACTTAACTGATATATCTGGTTTGTAGGTGATTGTAAGTATCCGATGTTTATTTTTTATTTTTGTGGTCAATATTGTTCTAGTTTGACTTTTGTTTTTTATTTTTGAATGTCATACATATATTATGTGTTTCATTCACCACATAATGTCATTTCAATTAAATATCTTATTGTAGGATACTATGATGGATGATTTAGGAGTTAATGCGACTGAAAATATACCTCATATTAGTATGCAATTTGATGCGGAGAAAGATATGCGTTTTATAATAGTAATGAAGGGTCTGTGGGATTTAGCCTAAGAAAATATTTTCAGAATAAAAGTTTGAAAGATGGCGTTGTCATTTATAGAAAATATGTTTATTATAAACAAGGTCAAAGGGTTTGTGATAAAAGAAAATGACAAATAAGGAAGCCTCGAGCAGAGACACAAACAAATTGTCAAGCTTATATGTGCATATCTCTTAATAGAGAATTTGACAAATTTGTTGTGGTGAAATGGGACAAGAACCACAACCATCCTTTGCACCTTTCTGAATATATACATATGATGTCATCCCAACGGAAGGTTACCGGAGCACAAGACATTAATATTGATATGGTAGCAGATTGTGGATTGTCACTTAAGGCTTCCTATAAACTTCTAAGTACTCAGTCGGGAGGAAAAGAAAGTCTAGGTTTTATTCGTCAAGACCAAAAGAATTACCTCCGTGAAAGGAGGCAACGAGATTTGAGGTATGGTGAGGTGAGTAGTTTGTTGAAGTATTTTCAAGCAGAAATAGCTAAAAATCCATCATTCTATTATAGAGTACAATTGGATGCGGAAGAGCATATTACTAATATTTTTTGGGTCGACCTAGTGATGATTATTGATTATGGAAACTTCAAAGATGTTGTCTCATTTGATACTACTTTCAAAACGAATAAGGAATATCGACCATTTGCTTGTTTTACTAGCTTCAACCATTTCAAGGAGACAATTTTATTTGGAGCTGCATTATTGTATGAAGAAACGACAGCATCATTTCAGTGGTTGTTTGAGATATTCCTACAAGTTATGTTTGAAAAATATTTTATTATCATTTTCATCGTCCAAGATCAAGCGATGACTAAGGCTATTTCTATAGTAATGCTAGAGACATACTATGAGTTATGTTGTTGGCACATTTGTCAAAATGTTTTGAAACATTTAGGGAACGTATATAAGAATGGTTCACATTTTTCTGCTCGATTTAAAGAGTGTGTATGGATATGAGGAAGAACATCAATTATTTGAGGCTTGAAAATTATTTCTTACAGAGTATAGTTTGCATGATAATATGTGGATGAAATCCACTTAGGCATTGTAAGAGAAATGGGGGCATATGTATTTGAAAAAGACTTTCACTACAGGAATGACAAACATCCAATTGAGTGAGAGCTTGAATGCAGCCTTATGAAAGTATTTAAAGTTAGATCATGACATTATTTAGTTCTTTCTACATTTTGAAAGAGTTGTGAATGATAAAGGGTATAAGTAGTCAGACTCGAAATACCAAGCTAGGCAAAAATTACCTAAATTGAAGTTAAAAAAAGCTCTAATGTTAGTGCAAGGAAGGGCAAGTGTACACTCCTACTATATTTGAGTTGTTTCAAGATAAGTATGATATCTTTCAGTGTGCTATTACGACACCATGTGATGTGTTAGATGGGATGCATCAATTTGTGGTTCAATTATTTGATGAACATAAAGAGTATTTGGTCTTGATTAAGACTAATGAGAAGATAATCAATTGTAGTTGTCGGAAGTTTAAAATGGAAGGCATATTATGTGGTCATGCACTTAAAGTCTTAGATATGATGAATATTAAACAAATTTTCGAGCAATATATATGTAAGAGATGGAAACGAGATGTAAGAAAGAGTTGTCGGACAACCCCCATTTCAATGTCAAATGAAGAGAATCCCTAATTAATGGCGGCGTCACATTACTAGCAGCTTTGTCCTAGAATGGTACAACTAGCTACTCAATGCTCTGGTCTTCAACCTGTATATAAATTGGTGTCACGTGGTGTTGAGAAATTATTCAAACAAGTGGATAGTATGTATGCATCAATTGGTGATGGTGGCGATGATTCAATCTATGAAGAAGGAATAGAAAATGTTGACACAAATTTTCTCCAAGTTAAAGGTTTAAAAAGAAAAGAAAATGGTTACAAGGGTTGGGTCGATTAAAATCTTGACATGAGAAAACAACAAAGAGAAAAAAAAAGAGCTTCTCAAACTATCACATATGTCTACAGTATGGTATAAATATAATTGTAGATTTTTTTAATTCATTTCATATTTTTATAAACATAAATGTAAGTATTTTTGTATTTCAGGTACATGGTTTCAGTCACCCGTGTACATCAGCATATGGTCATTTGAATATATTGTCCTCTCAAGTTTCAAATAGTGTACAAAGTGTTATGGTATGTTACCTTATTGCTAATTTTATTGTTTCACATATATATATCAAGTTTCTTTGTCTGACCCCTTCTCATTAATGTAGGGTACTCTAACTAATTCAACACATGTGCATTTTTTAAATGATGCTAAATCATTTTTCATGAATGAGGAATACAACTTGTAAGGATGCTTTGAGGATCAGCAGTTATAAGAATGATTGGAGGCTGCTAGTTGTTTGTTGGATTATTTTGTTGAAAACTATTTATTTTATATTTTTAATGAACCATTTATTTTAGTTGGATCATTTTGTTGAAAACTATTTATTTTTAATGAGGCCACTAGCAGTTGTAAGGATGTTTGTCGTATTTTTAATGAATGTGATCTTTTTTTATGAATGTGGTCTTTTTTTGATGAACATGATGTATTTTTAGGAACATGATCTTTTTTCCAAGTCACAACAATTAACAAAACCCACAATTTCATTCAAGTTAAACACACAAGTTCATTCACAACACAAGTTCTATCAACACACCATTGTCCTTACATCTCTACTTCACAAGAATCACAAACATAAGCATTACCACTAGTAATGTGGTTATAAACATATATGACTTCATTGATCCTTCTTTTACCTTAACACGTTGAACTATATTACAAAAAGTTCTTCAATCTTCAATCTTCAACTTCAATGTCATTACATCTTGTTCAATTCGTCGTACATTCATTCTTTCATTTGTAATTTCCAAAGAAGGCAAAATAGTAGGAGTCATTCACTTAAAAAATCGACATCCCTCGTCTAGATATTTGCAGTATAGTTTCCCAGGATTTTTTGCAGATTTAGAAACTTTGATAATTGTGGTTTTCTTACAATTGGTGCATTCCATATTGCGATATCTTAACTCCCCGTTGCTTGTTGTCGTGCTTGAAGATGTCATTCTTCAACACTACAAACATGAAAGGACAATAGTAATTAAAACTCAATCATATACAAATAAGTTATAGGCTGCAGCAAACATAGCAGCACAACAAACTCAATCATATTCCATCAAAAAGGTTGCTGCCATGGGTGAACTCATAACTCAGGAACCACCAGACTAATGGCAACCAAGAGAATTAATTTCAAGATTGAATCCATATCAATCAGTTTATTGTAGTCACTTCTACTATCTCCAATGACCATTTTCAAATTTACTGGTTAGAAACTAATTGCTACATAACAACACAATATAGCCCTTCAAACACACATAGATGAAAATACAAGAGAAAAGAATCCAATGCAAATGAAAATAAGCCATATATTGTCCATAAAGACAAGTACAATTGATCAAATTCTAATAAAAGCAAAATAGGAAAGAAGAAAAAGGCAACAAAAGGGAAGCATTTGCAATTCTTAATAGCCCATCACAAAAAGAGGTTCAGTCCACAAAAAGAGGTTCAGCCCATCGCAATTCTTCATAGCATATGCAATTACATCAAAACTCATGAAATTAACCAATCTCCAGTGATAATCAATAACCAAAAATTACTCGAAAGAATATAACAAAATATACAAGTACGGCAAACAAAAATTGCTGCCTCACTTGATCAATTGTAACAAGGACAAATATATCTTTTACTACCACCCCAACAGAAGCATGTATGGAAGTGAGTCATGCCTGAACCAGTTCATATAGCGTTGAAACTTCAGGCATTGCCATCGAATCAAAATCTGAAATTAGGTCTTTTTTTGCAAAATCAATAACCAAAAATAATAGCACAAATCTGGTCACTGGTCAATGGCAGAGTGTAGCCGGAGGCGTGAGTTGCCGAAGGTAGGAGAAGAGAGAGAGAGAGAGAGAGAGAGAGAGAGAGAGAGAGAGAGAGAGGGGGCGCCTGAGTCTGAATATGGGAGCAGCGATCGTTTGACGAAGTCGAAGGTACGAAACGGGAGGAAAGAGAAGGGATATTAGAGGTGGATTTGAATGACCAAAAAAATGACGTTGTTTTTGGTTAGGAAGATTAAAAAAAATTATAAAAAATAATTCAAACGATGTCGTTCCACTTAATCACATATCAATTGAGTTTTTTAAAGAAATTATAAAAAAATACCCCAAACGACGTCTCATCATTTCAAAAAAAGATTCTGGCTCGGTTGTGGAAATAACCCATGTTCTAGGGAAATTAAAGAAATAGTTTGGTGTATTTGGGTTTTTTTTTCCCTGTTGTGGAGTGTATTGGTTTTGGATGGTGTTTTTTGGGATAGGACTTTCTTTGGTTTTAGTGGGTATTTTTTGAGTTGGGAAGATATTTTGTTTTGGGATCCAATGACGACAGAGCGTAATATTGCTAGGACATTGCTTGGGATTGAGAATGGTGAGAAAAGGTTTGGTTGGAGAAGATGGTAATGGTTTGGGTAAAGGTCTTGGGTTATGGTATTGTTTCGATCAATCTTTTTGACAGATCCACTCACCGGAAAAGTTGAGACTAGTGCTCGGAGACGTGACCCTAAAAAGAACCTGCATATTCTATTATTCTATGTTAGACTATAATAAATAAATAAAATAATGAATTGGATCCCATTTCTTTGCATAGAAATGGTTATATATTATATAGATAGGTGGTTATTCAATTTCATTGTTATATATACCAAATTATTTATCAAATTTTGTATATCATATTTTCGAAATGATGAGAAAACCTTGTCCCAAATTGCTAGACTCACTAATCCAACCGCTACACAAGTTTCGGAATTGGATAACTTGAGCATTGTTATGTTAACCAAATTGTTTATCAAATTTTATATATCAGATTTGTGTAGCGATTGGATTAGTAAGCCTTACTCATTCCTACTAAACATTCAATGTACACGATTTAGCTACTGAGTAAACTTAATTGGGATACATAGCTTTATTAATTCAATTTGAGCAATTTTTTGAGGACCAAATTTAGAAACCTAATTAGGGAACTAATTCAATAAAACAATTGAATTAATTATGAGTTCTAAAATTAGATGGAACTCACTCTCAATTTAATGGTTACATTCAATTAGGTCCTCAAATTAAGTTCTTAAATTAGAACCTTTTGAGATAACTAAAGTGGTAACAGAGACGAGCTGTAAACGTAAATATTTTAAGTTTGAATCTTAGCTATTCTTTAGGTCACGTCACAAGGGATCCTTCATGAATGCAATAGTGTTAGAGGGAATGTTTTGTCTTTGATCAGAGTAAAAATTAGTTGAGGTCCTAATTCAACAAAATCATTAGATTAATTATGAGTTCTAAAATTAGATGAAACTCACTCTCAATCTAATGACTACATTTAATTAGGTCCTCAAATTAAGTCTTCTAAATTAGGTGCAAATTATTTTTTTCATTCTGGTAGCATCATTATTCTTGACTTAAATTTTTACTTAAATTTAAATTAACATTTGAGTAAAAAACTTAATTTGATATAAAATACTTCAATAAAAAAAATTAAATTAAAGAAGGACAAACCTCAATTTAAATGACAAACTCAAACTTAAAGAATGATAAAATATAACTATTAAATTTTTAAAAAATAATAAAATTTAACCATTTAAACCTCTAAAAGTAACTAAATACTAACAAGATGTAAACCAAACGTTTTAAATTTGAATATGTGTATCTTCTTTGAGTCAGGTCACGAGACATCCTTCATAATTTTGATCACATCGGGATGGATTAATCAAGTATTTGATGTAAATCTCTTATTTTTATCGGTGAGATTAATCGAAGTACACAAAAATACAAACATACAGGATGAGTTCGAGCATACGATTGCAGAAAGTTTTTTAAGGTTATTTTATCCAAATCTAGCCCTCACACTCAATATTCAAAACTTTCTACAACATTCCAAAAAGAAAAAAAAAAGCCTTCTGCAACAGGATCAACAAAAATCGAAATCGATGTTCAGATCATACTTGAGAAAACTGACAGGGTTTCAATTTTGGTGTGAAAATGGAACTAGAGATGGGTGTTCAGAGATGGTTGGTTGACATATCTCAGTGGAACCCATCTCCCCATGACTTCTCGTTTGCCGTCTCTATTCTCCCCGAAAGCGAGCATTCTTCCATCACCAGGTCAGCCACCACCATGTCTATGCTTATATGTATTGATTTAACTCTTAAATTCGTAATTGCCCTTTTGATTATTCACCAAAATGCTTGTTGGGTATTCCTTCATTGTATGATTAATGCCTTGTTTCTCTTTATAAGCACCTGAATTTGGAATATTATATGGGGGTGTGTATTTAAAGGGGGTATAGACCATTTTACTGATTGTAATTATGTCATCTCATTGATTAGATATACCTTTATGTATGTGTGTCTTTTATGCTTAAATTCATAGTTGCCCTTTGGATTATTTACCAAAAAGCTTATGTAGTACCACCTCGTTATATTATTGGTAGTGTGATTCTTTTTGGAGTAATTGAAGGTAGTATATCAGTAAATATAAGGGATGTTGAACAATCTTTTAATGATTGTAATCTTACATTAATTAGGTTTGTGAAAATGGAAGATCGAAAACGAGCACTTGCGAGCAGGTTGTTGCAATATGCACTTGTACACGAGATATTGAGACTCCCATTTGATGAAATTACTATTAAGCGCACCGTTGAGGGCAAACCCTATCTGGTATGACATGTTATCACAAGACTTGTTCGTTACTTACTTCATTAAAGATTTGTTAATTGTTTTTTCACATGTGTGTGGTTAGAGTTTAGTGGTAGGGTGGGTATATGGTTCAAGTCAGTGTTGAGAATGTTTTCCACTTCATGCAACCCAACATTTTAATTCCACTCCTATCTTCTTTAAGGTGGAAAGTCCTACATATACTGACGACTCCATTCCTTAATACCCAAAGTGGAGCAGATGGAGAACTAAGTGTCTTGTTTTTCGCACTTGATTAATGCATTTTTTCAAGGGTGTGATGACCCACTCTGAACCCCCTATAAACATAAAGGCAACCGAGAAAAAACTTTCTCCGTGACATATATTTGGGCAACTTAGATAGGTATTCTTGGATAATTTACTGCACAACTTCATTTTAAGGGCATCTTCAGTCATCATGCCGAATAACATCTTCAGTTAGAAGTTAGAACAGCAGAATCGGGATAAAAATTTTATTTGTATATGTTACTTCTTTTCCTTAACCATGACTTTGTGTGGGCTTAGCAAGGCATATTTTTATGCGCTTGCTATTGTGAATTCCTTATTTGCATCCCTACCTTCTTGTAGTTGTTGGAGTGGTGATCATATAGGTAATATCAGGAGTGTTGTCCTTGTTCTATTAGGAAAGCGATAAAGTGAACTTGAATTTCCCCAATTTCAACTTCAACGTATCTCATCATGGAGACTATGTGGCAATAGCTTCTGAACCAGTATGCCTTGTGGGTTTGGATATCGTCTGTCACTTCCTTCCTGAGAAAGAAACTGTTCCAGAGTTCATTCAGAATTTCTCAGCATACTTCTCAACTTTAGAATGGAATGACATTATTAATCCTGGAAATTGTGATGAAATGTTGAATAAGTTTTACAGGTACGGTTAATCTTATATTGAACTTATTGGATCTCATTTTCTTTAGCTTCTTGTTATTTGATTCCTCAAAGCCCACTTCGAAGTTATGCTTTTTTCTTATCAGCAGATAACCCAAAATGTTCCAGTTGGACAACCAACTATCTATGCTATGTTTGTATATTGATAAATGTCTGTAATTCTCTGTACCAATTTATAAGTGTTATCTAATAACAACAGCAAAAAAAAATCAACAGGTTTATTATTGAACATTGAAAGTTGAATCACATAGATGTATACATGTTCACGTATGTGCACATTTATACAAACATATAGCTGTGTACATACTTATGTGTGCTAAGGTCAGAATTTGATGTCTAATGATAGCATACATGAATGTAAGAGTTCACAGATACGTGATATCATTGACTGCTCAAATTGACAAAACACGTATGGCTGAGTAATTGTTGCAGATATTGGAGTCTAAAGGAAGCATATATCAAGGCCATTGGAACTGGGGTGGGGTACAGATTGGATAGTGTGGAATTTCATCACAATAATTGGACCAACATATTTGTCAAAATTGATGGGAGAGAACTGAAGGATTGGAGATTTTGGCTTTTTGAGCTGGAGAAAAGCCACGTGGTTAGTTTTTGAACAATTATTTTTACATTCCTTTAATATTACTGGATCATAAAAACAGAAGTGTTTGAAGCTTAATGAAGCATCAGGACAGTATCCATTGTATGCTTTGTTTTTGCAGCACTTGCAAAACTGCAAGATGTTTTGCGAGTGTTCTAGACTATTAGCATACCGCAGGAAGACGTTGGAAACTAGACATTTAGCTTCATTTTGGAGAAATTAAGAATTTGATCCTAGTATAGTCAGTATCTTTGTTGAGTTACGAATGAAACCATAAAGTTTAGAAAAAGGTAGTCTAATTTCAACCCGGGTCATGATTTTCTCTATTCTAGGGTTCCCAAGGAAACAAAAGGCTTTTGTCAATGTAACTTTCAATTGCCCTTTTTTCATTCCAGTCATGTGCTCTAAGTATCAGATTTCATGAAAATTGATGTGGGTGGCTGTAGGCCAAATGGTTGGATCAGACAGTAATGAGTGTGCAATCACTTTGAGCTTAGATGCATGATGAATTTCAGACTGGTCCACAGATGCCTTGGTGTGACATTGGTCTGACAGTTTCTCACGAATGATGAATGAATAAAAATGTCTTCAAACTAGAAGGGAAAAATAACTACTAAGGGATGCGGACTCCAGACGTTTTTAGTGTTAGGGACCATTGTTTTTAGCCATTATTGTAAGTTCTCATACGGGCAGCATCTCTGGACAATCTAAACACAAACCAAGTGTGCATACCCCAGAAAGATAGTCTTTGAAATTGATAATACATTCTGCTAGGGTCACACCCATTTAATTAATTATGGCCACCTTACGTTTGCTGCTAAAATTAGCTTGAAATGATTTAGCTACTATTCAAGAGATGCTAGGATCTGGGAGTTTTTAGTTGCGAATCCCAAGTACTCCCATCCTTATGAACCAAGGATACAAAATGACCTAGCCTTGTTTTACAGAGGTGAGAAGACATAGCTTTGTCCTGGAATCCCATAGATATGTAGTGTGGGGAACTGAATCTAATTTGTGAATATTGAGCTATATATTTTGTAAGATTAGGGTCAAAGTATCATTCCTATGGGGCTGATGAATTTGGACAGGTTGAGAAAACATTAGAGCCCCCTCTAATCATGTTTTTGGTGTTTAAAGTTTAGCCCTTGTACACTGTCAGTTTGTTGGCTCACGTCTTATTTTCCGTGGAACCTCAGGTATCTATTGCTAAAGGTCACCCAGGGATTGCCACTGAGAGTTACAAGAAAATGCTAAAACAGACAGAATTTGATGAAAAAGAGTTTTATTTGAGCCTTCATCTTCCAAACGTAGGATTTAAATTGTGGACAGTGGAAGAACTCATCCAAGTGTTTGTCAGAGAAGCTGATATACTGACTGGCATATCACGAAATTCTGATATGACCCAGGCTGAAAAAGTTGCAGAAGGCAGCCATCCACATAGCCTGCATCGAACAAAAAAACATGCCTGATTAGTGAGGAAACAACAAAATGGAAGGCAACTGATCATGGGGGTAATAAGCAGCGCATTGAAGTGAATCCTACCCTCCCCAGGCCAGCACCTGTTTGCTTAGTGCCATCGAAGTTCTGCTTTTCATTCCCGCCATTTTTCGTAGGTGGAAGTACAGGGGAAATCATTTATTTTCTGCCAAAATGCAAGGCCATTTGGGAAAATGACCGATTGGAACATACCTGCATGCTCTGAGACACCATACAGGGTCTGTGTTTCCTGGATGATTGTGATGATCAGATCTGCAAGATGATTTCAGTTTGTCAAGAAAAATCTGAGGATTAATAATTCATCTTGCCTATTCATGCAAAGATTGTTACACATTATGCATGCTTGAAGTGGCATAACTCTCTCTCTCTCTCTCTCTCTCACACACACACCCCGTATTAAAGAACAACTCCAAGAACACTATTCCTTCAATGAGTCATATTCCTATGCTCCATTGTTGGGGTCTGGCATGAATTTCATTGTGATCAACCCATTAAAGAAAAAGATATGCAATTTATGTACCCAGGGAAAGAAATCTCGAGGAATCAAACATTTAAACATAAAACAAGCATGGTTTTACCTATTATACAAACTAGAAGTGTCCTGTACATACTGTTCCCTTATTCATGACTAAATACCCAGTGTATTGATTCTAAAGAACAATACAACAACTAAATGTCATCTTCATCAACATTTCTACCATCCTCACCGTCAGCAGTAGTCACATTTCTACCATACTCTCATCTTCATCAGAATGTTAAGGACAAGATACAAACATTCTATTGTGACCGGGTATACTCAAATACATTAATTGAAATATTGAGTACCAATCCCATTCAAGGCCTCTTTTTGACAACTCCTCCACCGAGATGCTTATTGTCATTTACTCCTCATCCACACAAGCATAATCTCCATAAGAGGAACCAACAAAAATCAAAGCATATGCAAACACCAATAATGGCTCGTTAGCATCCACATATACATTACGTACATATTTTTAGTCAATTGCTTCATAAGTTTTTGAAGTTGTCTTTAACTTTTTACGCTTGGATATGTTGAAGCCACTTAACTCGGGTAACGCGTTGTAGCCTTGTAAACACGGAACTGAAAATGCTCGCTTAGATCAACAGATAATGCTTTTTTTTTCAAGGCTATTAATATGAGCAGTCAGGTGCAATTTGTGTTATCCAAACTACAACTGGAAGAACCAACATTTAAACATATACTTCTATATCAATCACCTTTAGTGTTGAATCTATAACTTCAAGGACTTGATTCAGGAAAATTATGTACTTTATAAAGCACTAAACTTCACTTATTTTGTGCATACTAGTCGGGCTGCACACGGATGCGGATATATCATATAGTTTAATATTTTACAAGAATACAAATATAGCTGGTTCGTATTAAGATTATGTTCTTCATCCATAATATCGAATAGGTTACATTCTGAGCTAAAACAATGGTCCCCCTTCTGCTTTCAAATGAGGGCACAACAATCCTTGTGCAACAACTGGTGTCTCCAAGAGTAGATAGACTGTAAGAATGTGACACGTCGCTANAACACTATTCCTTCAATGAGTCATATTCCTATGCTCCATTGTTGGGGTCTGGCATGAATTTCATTGTGATCAACCCATTAAAGAAAAAGATATGCAATTTATGTACCCAGGGAAAGAAATCTCGAGGAATCAAACATTTAAACATAAAACAAGCATGGTTTTACCTATTATACAAACTAGAAGTGTCCTGTACATACTGTTCCCTTATTCATGACTAAATACCCAGTGTATTGATTCTAAAGAACAATACAACAACTAAATGTCATCTTCATCAACATTTCTACCATCCTCACCGTCAGCAGTAGTCACATTTCTACCATACTCTCATCTTCATCAGAATGTTAAGGACAAGATACAAACATTCTATTGTGACCGGGTATACTCAAATACATTAATTGAAATATTGAGTACCAATCCCATTCAAGGCCTCTTTTTGACAACTCCTCCACCGAGATGCTTATTGTCATTTACTCCTCATCCACACAAGCATAATCTCCATAAGAGGAACCAACAAAAATCAAAGCATATGCAAACACCAATAATGGCTCGTTAGCATCCACATATACATTACGTACATATTTTTAGTCAATTGCTTCATAAGTTTTTGAAGTTGTCTTTAACTTTTTACGCTTGGATATGTTGAAGCCACTTAACTCGGGTAACGCGTTGTAGCCTTGTAAACACGGAACTGAAAATGCTCGCTTAGATCAACAGATAATGCTTTTTTTTTCAAGGCTATTAATATGAGCAGTCAGGTGCAATTTGTGTTATCCAAACTACAACTGGAAGAACCAACATTTAAACATATACTTCTATATCAATCACCTTTAGTGTTGAATCTATAACTTCAAGGACTTGATTCAGGAAAATTATGTACTTTATAAAGCACTAAACTTCACTTATTTTGTGCATACTAGTCGGGCTGCACACGGATGCGGATATATCATATAGTTTAATATTTTACAAGAATACAAATATAGCTGGTTCGTATTAAGATTATGTTCTTCATCCATAATATCGAATAGGTTACATTCTGAGCTAAAACAATGGTCCCCCTTCTGCTTTCAAATGAGGGCACAACAATCCTTGTGCAACAACTGGTGTCTCCAAGAGTAGATAGACTGTAAGAATGTGACACGTCGCTAGCCTGCTGCTGACCTGGAAAAGACATTGTTACCATCACTTGCACCAAGCTAAACAGATAAAAACTTACATCTGAGTCTGAAACCAGACCAAAGAGTAGCAGAGAATCAGCTAGTTAACTATAAGAAACAGATCAAAAGCAGACAATCCAGAAAGAATCCTATCGTCATAGTCAAAGTCAAAATTCTGCTTAAACATCCTTGACTAAAATTAATTGGCACATCAGAAAAGCAGGCACCATTGTTGGAACTTCTAGCACTCTAAAATCCAACACAGAACCATTCATCATACTATACAAGAACATTGATGCGGAAGAAACCCTCAGCTTCATCTAAGTGAAATCCTTCTTCTTTCTCTTTCAAAATGTCACAACAGGAAAGTTGATGCCTGCCAAAGTAAGAAAGTATACCCTTAAAGCTCAAGAAATTCGGGACTATATCACATATATTAAGCAAATCAGTCTGTCGACGTATTGATTTCACCTGATCTTCAGGTCCTAGGACCACAATATTTCTTAAGGCTTCCAGTTATCCTATTCTGTAGCTGGAACAGAACATGTAACCATTGTGTACATCTCTGGTGTATTTAACTCCATGAAAAGGAAGAATGCATAAGGGGCACTACGCTATGGATCTTCTAGTGAAAGTTAATATGATTGTTAGAACTGGATCTCATATATATACCTCCTCCATACAGATATGTTTCATCTCCAACATTGGCACTCGCACATTATAAAGTATCCTTGCGGCACAATGTATGCTCAAATAGCAAAATTCCTTCATAATTTAAAAAACTTAGTTTGCTATTTCTAGGAGCATGACATTGGCACTTACTATGGACTCCCTGCTAATCCACAGCCATCATCATCACCACCATGAAGTTATAAGCCTTTCATTCATAATAATAAACACGATGCTGGGCAGAGGCTTAAATATACTAAGGCTATCTATGACCAGTTAATGGTGAGCAAGGATTTTTTTTTTCTTTTTGTTTGAAAATTTTTTTAGAATTTTATAAGAGGTCACGGTTAAAGATAAGGGTGGCTGAAGTTTTTCACCAACTCGGTACAAGTCCTTTTTTTTTTTTTTTTTGAACGAAGTCCAAGTCATAAAAGATTGCAGAATTTTCTGGACAGCAGGGGAAAATCAAGGATTTTAGGGCTTTAATGGCAGGAGAGGATTAATCAGGGTTTTACGATCAACAGCTAGATTTTTTGGCTAAAAACTGAATGATTAGGGGCCAATACTGGCTTCAATTTTTTACAGCAGTTCTGGAAGTAAAGATAAAATAGAAGAGAATAATGGATATAGAACCTTAAAGTTCAATATTCAATGGACTCTTACACAAATGAGAAACTTCTTAATTAGAGAGGTCCTATTATACAAAAGATCTACCTAAAGTAATTATAACCTAGGCAATTCTAGCAAAAAAGGACCAAATAAATCTCACTCCATACAATTGAGTCCCAACAAGTAAAATTTTCAAAACCCCTTATTATTAAAAAAAAAAATTCGATCTTTCCAATTTGAATGGTACTGGAAATGTATGGCTTCACCTTCCCCATCTAAATAAGGTTTCTACATAAACAAGCTAATTGTAGGCCCATCATTGCATTACAAAGCTCACATGATTGTTTCAACTTTTCCATTTTTAATTTCTCTCCGCTTTTAGAAGCCAACCCTCACCAGAGCATCTTTAATGTTCAATCACATTATAGTTTTGGCCAACATCTCGCATAGAAGAGAAACTTAGATACATCAACATCCTACAATCAGCTACGACAGCTGAAAAGAACCATGAGAGATGCCAACAAGAGTAGATGATTGTCAACACAAACTGCATTCTGCAGTTACACAACAAAGCCAACATAAACCACAAAGGACACTTAATAGAGCTGAACCACAAGCCCACAGTCCATTTAGGTTAATCAAGAAGCACCTCCAACTCAAAGAGGAAAAAACCATAAGAGATCAATCAGAGTAATTGCAGCAACTTCGCAAAAAGCCTACACGTTATTCCCTCTACAAGTTTAACCAAACAAGTTACTGCACCACAAAAAAAAAAAACAGAGGTTCCTATCAAGTAAATTGTCCAGTCAAACACAAGTATTCTGTGAAAATTCCATGTAAAAGGATCTCAGAGAAGTCTAATTTAATCCCCAAATCCCAAGAACTTATACTCTTGAAGGTGCACTATGTATTGCCTCATGATTCTGTTATCAAAGAATCATCGAAGCTTCATTCCAACCCTTGATGGAGTTCTATCAATCAGTTCAAGGCTTCAAGATACAACTACTCTCACACCACTGAGATCAAGTGGAATAAGCCATGATCCAATTAATATTTCAAATATCCAGTACAATAGATATTCCGAAAATCGATTACATTTGGTTCTTATCGTTTAGCAAATGTTAGTAATCACAAGTGGTGTAGGTCTAGACATAGCGAAGAGTAGTTACCCAAATTATGTCCAAAACAGCACGAGTAGTCCTGTCGCTGGCTGATTCCAAACAGCCAATTCCTCCTCTTCATTGAATTCTTCTTTTATATTTCTACTAATTCAGAGAAGGAGCATTCAAGACTCCACCCAGCTGTAATGATAGAATAGGCAAAGCTTCTCTCTGCAAGTTGACAGTGTTCCATCAATCACTTCAAGGCTCTCTAAACATAATTGGCGTACATTCCCCAGATGTAGAAGCCCCAATTTGGGAGTAAAAGTTGGAAGAGAAGAAACAGGGAAAATACTGTTTCATGAAGGAAATATAAGATTGATTCTTGGAAAAAGAAGTATAAAAGAAATGCATGTGAAACCAAAAATTCTCCTGATACCATGCAAAGAATCAATGAAAAACTTAACGGGGAAGAGGAAGGATACCCAGTCATGTTCCTTATTTGGTTGACACTCCAAATTCTTTGGATGGCAATAAGCATGGAAAAAAAATAAGTTCCACAAAAAATGTTGTCACAATTACTGAGTATAGCCAAAGGAATGCAGACCATTTTTTTATTCAGATAAGCAAAAGTACAGCAGGAGCCAGAATGGTATGAAAGTGCTGCCTACGAATATACAATAACCAATCCGTGACCTTTGGCATCAGCAGATGACCTGTGAATGCCCTGACAACTACAAAAAGATAAACAGAAAATCAAATGCAGATGCAGGGCAAGGAAGCATGATATTAATTTTCCTAGAGCAAGAATAACAAATTCGAATCAAATATAGATGCAAGGCAAGGAAGAAATATAAAGATATCCATATCAATGACAAGTCCAGTGAATATGTGGAAACATAAAACTTAGTTTTTAAAATTATTACCTGCTGCATGGCAAGGTGGAACCCACATCACGGTTGATAAATAGAAAGCACGGAAGCAATGACACAAAAAGACCACAACATGAAAATTTCAAAAGAAGACTATTCCTAAAGCCAACCTGCAATGCCACAAAAACATGTTAAGACACTCGAGATAAGTGTTACTTAAAAGCAAAAGATTAATTTGAACAAGAAAAGAAGGAAGAAGAAACAATGCCTCAAACGGGTAATCGTCAAAAACCAACATAAGAAAGAGCTCACAGCCATCATCCCAAAGATTGAGCCAGCTATTCCCCATATATGTGACAGAATTTGACTAAAGGGCTGATATATAAGGAGATAAATACCCGATGGAGAAGGATATGTGTACTTTTGATTTTCCATTTGAAACACAGAAATTGAGAGCCACACCAATAGCATATCAATTCAAAATTTTCACATTAATAGACACTTCAGGAGACAAATTATGTCACAAGAGATTCCTTTCCCACATCCCAAGCCCAGTTCACACTTGGGCTCCATGGTCTGAGAGCATCTAAATGAAAACCTTCAGACCAAGATTACTCAACAGCAATGACAAGTAAATCGCAGAAGAGACCTTTTACATGTTGATTACCTATTGTTATATTGCCCTAGAGAATCGGCAAAATTGTTTAACATGTTAATAACATCTCCTCCAGCCACCCATCACATGTTCACTAAAATAACAACCAAAGAGAAACAAACATGACACATTATGTTAGTAACGCAACAATATATCCTGCACTGGGTCAATTGCATTTGTACAATCTAGCATTAACAAAATAGCTTTGTCATCAGCCACTCGTAATATGTTGATCCTTGCGTGCATGGCTAAAAAAAACAGAAGTGGCACAGAAAGGCTAAAAGATATAAGCAAAACAACTTGGGGTATCTGCAATGCAAATTTCAATAAATATTGAAAAAATTATTGAGAAATTAATGGAGCTAAATTCTGCAAAAAATGACAGCAGAAAAGCCCCTCAAACCCCCACAATTTGTTGGGAGATATATTGTCTGAATCACATAAATAATCAGGAACTTTTAATGGCTTCTTTGCACAAATATACCAAAAAAATTCCATAATTACAAGTTCCAATTGACCCGAGACATATCCTAAGGTAGCTGTTCTGTCAAATCAAGAAAAAGATTATTCCCGGCTGACGAATTAAATAATCCACAAGAATGTACAATCTGTAGTCGTGATCAAAACATGTTCAACTCTGATAGGTCATCCATTGGTATTTCAAGGCCCATTGAATCATAGTCCTGTAAACCATCCTCATCGAAGTTCAACCAAGGACTGAGATCTTCTTGTGGCCTGCCAAGGTCAGCGCCTACACTTAGTTCCTCTATCAGATCTAACTCATGTAGCTGCAAATTTGCAAAATCCATGGGTTCTTTGACATCCTTAGGTGAATCCTCAGAAATGCTACCAAGGGGCACGAACCCAACCTCTCTTTTTCTGTGGCCACTACTATTGACCAATTCAGTAGAACTACTAGCTGAAATGCCCGAAGGATGTGTTGTTTCTGTGAAGTTGCTAATAAATCCAATTCCTGATGTTGATAGCTGAGCTCTCTTCTGCTTAGGCTTCATTTTCGTTTTACGATCACCCTTAAAGCAACTCATAGTTGAGTGTCCGGCTTTGGCAACATTATTTCTGGTTGTCATATCTTTCTCCCCCTCGCTCTTGCCTCTCTTTTCCTTCATTCCACCCAAAAGAGAGCTACCAAAAGTTGATGTGGTGCTCAAGGCAGTAATTCCAGCAACATCATCAACAAATGCTTTCTTTCTATTCCCTCTGTTTGATATTGGCCCTTTTTTGGCGAAAGCTTGATCACTTAAAATTTCAAATGTAGATGATGGACACCCATCAGCATTACAGAGGAAGGAACCTATTAAACCAAAAAAAGAAAGTCATTCATTAAATAAAGCCAAGCTGAGAGAAACTTAACATACCAGGGGTTTCGGAAGCATGTCAATATCATTAGAAGGCAGAAATATACTTTACAGATTACTGTGTATAAAAAGTATCAAAAACAGCATCTTCTTTAGTGTCGAGCACCATACCCACATAATAGGTTGTCAAGAGTTATGCCATATCATAAAATGAAACATGAAAAGATAATTCAGCATTTGTTTAAAATACAGTAACATTTACTTATATTGTGCAGACCAAACGGCCTGGCATCTGTCTAAGGGCAACAAAATTTGAGATGCTTACTGTTAGCAACTTCCAGACCAGTACAAGTCGTAGCTTCTGCCTCATTGCCTCGAGGAGGTGCACCAAAAATAATATCCCGAAGTGCAGGTTCATGAAAGCAACTCGTCCCTGAATCTTCAAATTGCATACATCTAGCAAGAGTCCTCTTCACAAAAGCCAAGGCAACGTGTTTTGGCAACTTAGCAACCCCCATTTTAGCAGCACTACTTCCTCGAGTAGCCTGCCAAATTAACCCCAGAGACATTTCATGATTCAAATCTAAAGCAATCCTATTCAACAGCATAGCCGATGACATAATAATCAAGCAACAAAAATTCTAGCTTAAAGAAAGGAGGTAGAAACATGGGAAAAGTTCATCTGCCATCCATTATTCCAAAATATAATGATTACCATAATCAGGCAAAGCTCATTCATGTGTAACTCAAACTACCTCATCAGAAAAATGGCTGTTGGACTATAAAAGTATCCGAGATCACAACCCCCATTCCCCACCCCACTAGGGCCACTAACCCTACCATCAGAATGGATAAAAAACAAAGATCAAACCATAACTAATGTACATTGTTATGGAATACACAGAGTCACACATTACTCTATCTAGTGAGAAAAATTAAAGATAGAAAAGCCCATAATATTTAGTTCTCATAGATATATATCCATGCAAGATCTATTACAAAGAGAAAAATAATTGAATCATTCTAAAAGAAGCATTCCAAAGAATAAACTCAAATCCAACAAACTTGATAATTGGATATGTCCTCTCGTATAGTCTTTCGATAAGGATAACATATCAATGCAACTCAAATCGAGGTCACACTAAGCAGACAGAGGCAAAATGAAGATAGATGTAATGTAAGTAAAATGGAGGACAAAATTGTCCTGCTGACATTTTAAAAATAATACAGCATGGGCCATATGATGTATTATGATCCACCTAATGACAACAGCACGAAAAAACTTAATTTACACACACCCCAAAGCTCCGGTTAGCAAACACATGATGGACATAACTTAAGCTTCACAATATGCATGAATTGGACTTTACACAAATAAGAAATTGTGCTAGTGGGCTAACACGTTTTCTATAATGTGTTACTAGTAAGTCCCATGCATTACTGCATACTAGCAACTCCACTAATGATGCACAAAGCTCTTACAACAATCATTCTGTGTTCTACTCTTGAGACATACATCATAAAATACAAAACTGGATTGATCCATAACAAATTTCTCTGGTCTTCAGCACCTTCAACACCAGTGAGATAAGTGCATAAACATTAAATTCCTTAGCAAGCTGACATACATGTTAAAGCAACTACAGTAGTCACAGTACAACATAGATCTGAGAAGTACAGGATGAGAAACTGTAGATTGTTTCCACCTTTTAGTAATAAATCTATAATATATTATATATGTCATTTCACTGAGGAATTCTTCGAATTGATGCATTGTGCCATTAAGCAAACCTGAGATCCAAAAAAGGCAGAAATCTGGCTCTGGTCTGTCTGGAGATATGAAAACTGGATGGCTTTATGAACAAACCAAATCTCCAAGTTAAAGCCCCAAGATTAGTCTTAACTATCAAAGTGGATTTCCTCCTATTCTTGGCAAAGGTGAAAATTGTACGACCATTTAGGGCATTAACCATGCCTTCTTCCCTTTGAATATCCTTGTCAGAAAGAAAAGAACATAATCTGGTGTCCCAGTCCCATTTAAAAAACTACCATTGCATCCACTTATGCATTAATAATGTCTTTTTGAGGGGTATTGCATAAAATACCATTTTTTATAATATGAAATTTTTTTTAAAAATTTAAGAAACAAAAAAAAAAAATTCTAAACAATCATATAGACGACAACATGGGCACAAGGAAGATTGGCTCCTGGCTTTAGAGAAACAACCAGATAATCCGGAAAGGGAGGAAACAATTACCAGCAGCTTTTTGTAAGCCAACTCAACCAGTCTACTCATTGCAATCTGCTCAAGATCCCTGCACAATAAACACGTCTTACTTATATCCACACGATGCAACATATGCGAAAATTAGATTCATGGTAGAAATCTAAAAGGACGTCATAAAAGCATCCAAATATTGAGTAATTACCATCCTTTTTCCCTCCCTCCTTGAATAGCTTTACATATTTTTTCCAAGCATGTCTTCATTTTACCAATCTAAGGATTAAGAAAGAAAATCACATAAATAAACAAAACTTTTAGCATTATAGCACATGTAGAAACAATGTTTTAACAACATTGTACTTGTGATATCTAAAGGTTCCGCCCAGATGAACATATATGTTAGTGCAAATGTGAGATGCTACATGAGGCAAGGTCTGACGCAGCATAACCTGTTCATGAAGTCCTCTCTTCAGCTGCAAAATTCCATGATTGAGCACTTCATCCTCTCGATCATCTAAATCGGGCTGTTGGCATCCCAGAAAGGAATGCAAGAATGGCAAAAAATTTGTAAGAAAAACAAACAAATTTTAGTGTTGTTAAAAGGAAATGATAGCCGACTTCAAAGGTAAAATGCTATTCTTTAAAACGATTCTACCATGCAACACACATGCAAATGAACAATATACAAAAGTTTAGCTGCACATTAACCTCGTAGAGTGAACTTTTGCAGAGAAAAAAGTTGGGGGATGTGCTGGGAAACTTCATGGCATAGCCTTTCTATTGAAAGATGATAAACAACATTAATCAAGTCTTATACAACTAAAGCATACCACTGTTTCTGGATATAGGCCGATACTCTGCAGCTCCAGCAAGAGTTTATCATCTATACACATGTGCTCATACTGACAATCAAAGGGCAAAAGGGCCAAAACCTTCTTTTGTGAACTCTGTGGTCCTTCCAGATCATTTCTAGAAATCCCAGCCAACACCTTGGCATCTGAATCCTTATACAAACTCTCTCCTACCAATNCCCCAAGATTAGTCTTAACTATCAAAGTGGATTTCCTCCTATTCTTGGCAAAGGTGAAAATTGTACGACCATTTAGGGCATTAACCATGCCTTCTTCCCTTTGAATATCCTTGTCAGAAAGAAAAGAACATAATCTGGTGTCCCAGTCCCATTTAAAAAACTACCATTGCATCCACTTATGCATTAATAATGTCTTTTTGAGGGGTATTGCATAAAATACCATTTTTTATAATATGAAATTTTTTTTAAAAATTTAAGAAACAAAAAAAAAAAATTCTAAACAATCATATAGACGACAACATGGGCACAAGGAAGATTGGCTCCTGGCTTTAGAGAAACAACCAGATAATCCGGAAAGGGAGGAAACAATTACCAGCAGCTTTTTGTAAGCCAACTCAACCAGTCTACTCATTGCAATCTGCTCAAGATCCCTGCACAATAAACACGTCTTACTTATATCCACACGATGCAACATATGCGAAAATTAGATTCATGGTAGAAATCTAAAAGGACGTCATAAAAGCATCCAAATATTGAGTAATTACCATCCTTTTTCCCTCCCTCCTTGAATAGCTTTACATATTTTTTCCAAGCATGTCTTCATTTTACCAATCTAAGGATTAAGAAAGAAAATCACATAAATAAACAAAACTTTTAGCATTATAGCACATGTAGAAACAATGTTTTAACAACATTGTACTTGTGATATCTAAAGGTTCCGCCCAGATGAACATATATGTTAGTGCAAATGTGAGATGCTACATGAGGCAAGGTCTGACGCAGCATAACCTGTTCATGAAGTCCTCTCTTCAGCTGCAAAATTCCATGATTGAGCACTTCATCCTCTCGATCATCTAAATCGGGCTGTTGGCATCCCAGAAAGGAATGCAAGAATGGCAAAAAATTTGTAAGAAAAACAAACAAATTTTAGTGTTGTTAAAAGGAAATGATAGCCGACTTCAAAGGTAAAATGCTATTCTTTAAAACGATTCTACCATGCAACACACATGCAAATGAACAATATACAAAAGTTTAGCTGCACATTAACCTCGTAGAGTGAACTTTTGCAGAGAAAAAAGTTGGGGGATGTGCTGGGAAACTTCATGGCATAGCCTTTCTATTGAAAGATGATAAACAACATTAATCAAGTCTTATACAACTAAAGCATACCACTGTTTCTGGATATAGGCCGATACTCTGCAGCTCCAGCAAGAGTTTATCATCTATACACATGTGCTCATACTGACAATCAAAGGGCAAAAGGGCCAAAACCTTCTTTTGTGAACTCTGTGGTCCTTCCAGATCATTTCTAGAAATCCCAGCCAACACCTTGGCATCTGAATCCTTATACAAACTCTCTCCTACCAATAGGGCATCCTTACATGGAGGATTCTGGGTGCTGGGGCTTCTGTGAAAAGCAATACTTCCATTGCAAGAACCTAATATGTTTCCGGTGCCAGGTTCCTGAATTTGCACACCAAACATTGACTCACATTCAAATTCCATTCTATGCCCCCTTCTAGGTTCAGCATCAATAAGGAGACATGCATCATAAGGTCGATCGCCTGTAGCATTCTGAAGCAACACATTTCTCCCAGCATCGATTTCTTCATATTCTTCTATATCATCTTCTACAATGAGAGCTGATAGTACTCTATGGTACAGTGGAGTAACTTTATTAAATCTTCGCCCCGAGTCTAGTGCTCCAACAAGAGCAGTGTCCCGAAATTGATCAACCAACTCACCTATACTAGCTGAATCCTTGGATCCAATTTGATTTCCCAGACGTCTATTTCTTTCTCCAGAAACGTTATGAGATACAGAAACTTCTTCATGCACAATATCAACCTGAGAAAGTAAAAAGAAGTTCAGAACTCAACACACAACGATTCAGACCAAACGTCCACTACAAATGTTTGAAATTGCCTTTCGGATTTTGACAACTAATGCCACAATGACACAAAATGAACACAAGATAAATGGAACAGCTATTTTCCTCTTGAGGTTAATAATGATGAAGTATTTGTACAAAAAAAACACAAGACCGTGTACACAAAATGCATAAAAAAAATTAGAGAACATAAACACACCAAAAAAAAAAGGAAAATCAGAAATAATCGCAATGCAAAGATGAATAAAAGGGAAACAAGGAATTAAAAAAAATGGGGAAGGAAAGAAAGTCAATGGTGCCAAAGAAGGGAAATAAATAGCGCCAGAAAATGCCAGGGAGTTCCAAAAAGAAACTAAAAATCTCATGCTGTATCTAAAGAACAGGTCCTTCTAGGCTAATATAACAGAACACAGTTTGCATTGCCCAAAAAAAAACATAGTCAGCAGTTTCCAGACAAAACTACAGGCTTCTTTCAGATAAGGAGCAAGACAACAGAAAAGCAAGTCCAAGAGATCCTCATATAAACACCAAAAAACATGACCAAAAAAACAAATTATTCCAAATTTATAATATTTCACATCTGCATAAATCCATTTTTCAGTTTCATTATATCCACTCGTTTCTTCAAAAATTGATCCTTTATAGGGCTCAAGTGCCATTGAAAACAAAATGTAATACTTTATCCCTCTCATACAATTGATACTATCTGTATATGAATTATATGAACCAGAAAGTTGCACTCAAATTGTTGTAATAAGAAAAGGAGATCAACAAATTCAATTAAAATGAAATGCAATGCTGGTTATGCACTAAAGGCTAAACACAGTGTAGTAAGAAATTAGAAGCAAAATGCTGAAAACATGAGTTCTAAGTTAGCAAATGATGCGAAAAAATATAAAGATTTCTGACTTTAAGAAATACCAAAACACTAGATCCATAGTCAAACATCTGAGATAGGCTTTCCTGAAGTTCCTCTGCATACTTCAGCTGATCCAAAAGAATAGACAAGCATAAGAATCTTAATGACGACTTGGTGAAAATTTTATTTTTATTTCAACAGAGGAAAAGAAACAAAGTATGATACAAAATAATCTTTTCCAGTAGATTATGGTCACCACCTGTTGAGTTACGTAGGATCTGCCCTCCAAGTTGATCGAAGCAAACATTGGTTCCATTTTTTCCCAAAATTGGCTTGAACAGGCAAGATCTGCAAAGGCAAACAATACACTACTGATAAGCATTCTCACATTGCACAAGAAAGAAAAAAAATGAAATTTCTTTGTAGTGAAATGTAATTCATGTCAGACACATACGACTAGCGTTACGAGCCAAATTTGCAGCTGCTAAGAGTTCTTCACGATCATCATCTGATTCCCCTGGAATATTGTATGCAAAATAATTGTGCAATCAGGAAACAATAACTGTCTATGGGAGTGTGCGTGTGTATGTAAATGGTGGGGGTTGGTGTTGTGGGTTAAGATAAATAGGAACTATACCTCGTATCCCTCAAAAGCTTCCAAATAAGTGCTAAATTAATTTACACAAAATTGGGGGTTTTTTCTGTTTTCTTCTCCTTTTTTTTTTTTTGGCTGTGCGTGCATGGGAGGGGGGTAGGGGTTGGTCAGCAGGCCCAAAATACACAGAAAAATCTTTAGTGAATAAAACAAGAGGCCAATTTTCCCTTTAAAGTCTAAAGTCTCTCAGAATAAACCAAATTCTCAAAGCAAAATGGCAACTGAAACTGACAATCTAAAACTTTGAAAACTGATGAGTTGGTTTTGATGATATACCATTGATATTGGGAGAACCACTCTTTGGCACATTCCCAAGACGAGAAAAGCCTCTATTATCGGACAGCTTTTCTAAAGGACAGCCTGATTTACTGCAACATTAGATACAATCATCCATAAGTAAAACAGCCATAAGAGAAGGTAAAAGTGGAGTATCGATTTCATTTAAAAAAAGGATCAGCACCTTCCATTTTTGTCAGACCTAGGTCTTGCACTTTGAAGGGGCTTTGTAAATGCTGCATTATCCAACTTCTCCCTTACTGGAGAATTTCTAGCCTTAGAAAATGAGGAACCCCTTCTACTTCGTCCTTGTCTGCGCACACCATCACCAATTTCTTCCTTGATAACTAATTTACTCTTCTTTGTAAGCATTACAGAAGACCTAACATTCTGAACAGCATTTACACCTCTTTCCTCCAATTCTCCACTACTTGTACCTTTCTCATTTGGCATGTTTTCGCCAGCACAAGATTCTACCCTCTTGGAAAATCTGGCTGGGGATGAAACATTGTCAAGTTTAACTTTTAATTGCTGGGTACCATTGCCTGCAACCCTGGAAAGAATAGAACTATTGGTTCCACTAGAAGTTAATCTAGCACCAAAATCAGAAGGGGAACAACCTTCGGGTGATGTCTGCATTTCATCATGGTTCAAGACTGGAGACACCAGATTAGCCCTCCTACAGCGGGAAATTTTTTGTGGTCTCTGACCAACCCATTGAGCCATGGGTGGAGAGGATGATTCTGAGGGCATAGCACGCTTGCGATTGCTAGCCCCATCAATTGAAGGGATTTTGTATCCAGTTGATACTTGCTCGCAGCTCTCAAGTGTTCCAGATACACGCCGATTATTAAGAGCTGAGTTTGTTGCAATCATAGAGCCTGTTCGTGGGGCCCTTGAAGCCTTGCCTTTTATAACTGGACTAGGACAGTCGACACTATTGTCCTTGCAATTCAATAACCTAGAATACGATATACATGCATCCAACATAAGAAAATGCGGCTGGGACAAAAGATCATACTGTCGAAACAATAAAAAAAGGGCAAAACAATCTCTCTAATTTCATTACATCTAAAGATGAGTCAGCTGCAAAAAAATCTGATACTGACTTATAATATCCTATCTTAAATGAGTGGGTACATACTTGTTGTTTCCTTTTATTAGAAGCCTCTGCTTAGTTAACCCAGCTGTCAAATCCCTAGGAAGAGTGACTTTTTCCCGTTCATTTCCAGGTGTTGCACGAGAACCAACAGGCAAGGAAGTGTCATCCAAATTGTTTATGCCACCAGTACCATTAGAAGCTCCTGATCTGTGGCAGATGTCAAGTTCAAGAACACTATTATTGCCTTCTGCTTTTAAAGCAATGTGCGGAAAAAAAATCTAACACTGGCGAATACATAATAGATTATTCTTCTCCATTCCTCATAATAAGTAGACTGTAGTATGGGCAAATTAATGCAAAGTCAAAACTGATGTATAATATGTTTCGAAGGTGGGAGAGTAAAACCAGCACTTACTCATGGAAAAATATTGATAGTCATTATTCGTATATCAATCCCATTTTAAAATTTTAAGCTTTTAAGTCTATCCAATCTTGTCCATCCGACTCAATTCAAAATTTGAACTTGTTTAAAATTTTTACTTGGTTGCACTTTCAAGTTGATAGTACTTTCTCACCAAACAACTGTCGATATAAGTTCCTCAAAGCTTATTTTAGTGTAATAAATAAAAACGGCAAATGGTAAATGATTTGCTAAAAGCTCACACACCAGTCTCTAAATTTCTATACTTAGAACATTTTCATGTTTTGGAAGTTTTGGCACAACTACACTATCTTCTACCAGTCCAATGTTGTTACCACGGTATAAGATTTGAATATTTCTTTTTAGAAAAGTATATGCATGCTTTTATGCAACTGAATTGGAAATAGCAGCTTTATTATCTTTCAAGTGGTTAAAATAGGTGATTTCCAAGAAAGCATCCGATTTCTAAGAAATTCAACAACATTCTCTTGGAAATTATTATCAAGGTTGATATAAAATGGTGAGAGAAAGGTCCTAAAACAGCAGCAGTATAACACAACATTACATGTTTCTTACAATAATGAAGCACTTACCTGAAACTCTGGCCATCACGAGATTGCAAGCCAGGTTCCCTGCTAAGACTATGATGCATTTTTCGTTTAAAATCTCCATCACTATCAATAGGTCTTGTCAAAAGTGTACCTACTGAACGCTTCCTTTTAGTTTTCCTTTCACACCCTTCCCCTCCTGCAGGCTGACTGCGAATCTTTTCTTCAACCAAATGAGAACCAGCACCAAAATCCTTAAACACATCTTGATTTTTTGTCATTACTGGAGATTGCCGTGATAGGGCATTACTCCGGTGAGCCTGTAGTAGTATGGGAAAAAGGTACTTAGTACATCATTTGAGGTGATGAGATGTACCCAAAGTAAATGATACCCTTACCAACCAAGAGTGTGATAAGTATGGGACACAAGATTGAGCAACAATAAGACATTAGAATGACACTTGAGAATTGAGTTCTTTATTGCGCATATCTTGATTCTGATACTATTTTCGATTATAAGACTTACAATATTATGTCATCCACTACCACATGAAAAAATCCATCTCAAATTCCCATAGCTGATGTGGAATCTTCTTCAATGAATATTATGTCATCTATATAATACACTATCAAGTTGCACCAAGGATCAAAATATTGTTTCGGGGTATTGTTTCGGTCACCTAGGAAACGGAAACGTTTCGACGTGCTTCAGAAACATTTCGACCTATTTCAAAAACATAATGAAAAAAATAAAAAATTTAAAAATTATTTTTTTAAAATATTGATGAAAATATCTTGAAATACCTTGAAAAATTTTAAAACAATTGTGCAAATGTACTGAAATATTCTAATACATTTAAAAACATTATGGAATACCTCGAAATATCAGAATTTCGATTTCATCACTGTTTCGTTTTGGTCTCCTTGGAAACGGAAACGTTTCGGACGTTTCGAAACGATATTTTGATCCTTGAGTTGCACATTACAATGGATGCAAATTAAGACGGATCAATCCAATTTTTCAGGAAATGTCCAAAAAGTACTGATGATCTCACCAACCAGTTGTGTGTCACATAAACCAGTAATGCAGGCATGTATCAAAGCATAACGGAAAGAACAAGTTTCAGATTACGAATCATGAAAAGCTTATTTTTTAAAAATAAAAGTTTCAGGAATGCCAATAGAGATCAAACTGCAACATTGTATCAACTACAAACCCGCGTTTCTGCTATTGATGTGCGCACGCGCTTCAGAACAACGTTCTTAGGCCGATCCTCCAATTTCTGAGTTACAAGATCTGGAGAATTTCTTTGACTCTGGATTCCCATCTTCAAGTTCAACCCACCTGATCGTTCATTTAGAATAGCTCCTTCCACAGCTGCTGCTTTTACGATACAGCGCCGTGATATTTGCTCAATTTATGTAAGAGATCTTCCAACTTCTCTGCTCTACCCCTAGTCATAGAAGTTACATCTTCAGCAAACAAGAACTAAAGATCAGGAAAATGCCTAAGTGACCACATCCTAGATTTTCCCATTTAGATCAGGAGGTCCACTTTATTCTCCTAGCACCAATAGGAACAAAATATATCTTGGATCAAGAAGAACAAGCAGGAAAAAGCATGATCTTGAATAACAAACTACAAATTTTAAAAAGTATCTTAACTATAGTTGAAGTAGAAATGGCCAAGAACATAGTAAAACAGATGGTATATATACAGAGAAATAATAGCATAAATAAATTAATTGCAAAATCAACTTCGTATCTCAAAATGATTAGAAAGAAATAAATTAAACACCTGGCTTTTGGTACATGTATCTATAGCAACTACCATAAATCACTTTAGTTCCTCCACAGGAGGGGAAAGCTTCAGATGAATAGCTCCAAAAGAATTGCCTCCTTAGAAAGCTCCTTAACTCACCTGACCGTGTGTTTTNCGGAAACGTTTCGGACGTTTCGAAACGATATTTTGATCCTTGAGTTGCACATTACAATGGATGCAAATTAAGACGGATCAATCCAATTTTTCAGGAAATGTCCAAAAAGTACTGATGATCTCACCAACCAGTTGTGTGTCACATAAACCAGTAATGCAGGCATGTATCAAAGCATAACGGAAAGAACAAGTTTCAGATTACGAATCATGAAAAGCTTATTTTTTAAAAATAAAAGTTTCAGGAATGCCAATAGAGATCAAACTGCAACATTGTATCAACTACAAACCCGCGTTTCTGCTATTGATGTGCGCACGCGCTTCAGAACAACGTTCTTAGGCCGATCCTCCAATTTCTGAGTTACAAGATCTGGAGAATTTCTTTGACTCTGGATTCCCATCTTCAAGTTCAACCCACCTGATCGTTCATTTAGAATAGCTCCTTCCACAGCTGCTGCTTTTACGATACAGCGCCGTGATATTTGCTCAATTTATGTAAGAGATCTTCCAACTTCTCTGCTCTACCCCTAGTCATAGAAGTTACATCTTCAGCAAACAAGAACTAAAGATCAGGAAAATGCCTAAGTGACCACATCCTAGATTTTCCCATTTAGATCAGGAGGTCCACTTTATTCTCCTAGCACCAATAGGAACAAAATATATCTTGGATCAAGAAGAACAAGCAGGAAAAAGCATGATCTTGAATAACAAACTACAAATTTTAAAAAGTATCTTAACTATAGTTGAAGTAGAAATGGCCAAGAACATAGTAAAACAGATGGTATATATACAGAGAAATAATAGCATAAATAAATTAATTGCAAAATCAACTTCGTATCTCAAAATGATTAGAAAGAAATAAATTAAACACCTGGCTTTTGGTACATGTATCTATAGCAACTACCATAAATCACTTTAGTTCCTCCACAGGAGGGGAAAGCTTCAGATGAATAGCTCCAAAAGAATTGCCTCCTTAGAAAGCTCCTTAACTCACCTGACCGTGTGTTTTTTTGCTCACCCATTTACTATCGGCTCCAGCATTAACAATGTGATGATGGGGGCAAATCCCCAGGCACTGAAACACTACCCGCCAACATGCCCATTCCGGAACCAAGTATCCATCTCTCAGCACCTTTCTAAAGCCACCAGACCTATCTAAATTTGGGTCAGAACGGTTACCTTATGCCCATCTGGATGGTTGCCTGTAAAACCCCACTCAGAACTAGCTGAAGCTACTTCAAATCTTCTATTCCCACCATAACTCAAATTCAATTACCACAACCCATATCTTCTAAGGATTTGTCCCCTTAACAATATGTTTCACTAAGACTAAACCCACTAAGTAACCTACCAAAATCAGGAGAAAACAAGTACAAGGAGCTAGCCTTTTCAGGAACCAATCAAATCTCCAGAATCCATGTTCTAGAATCAACCCAAGTATCAATTCAAATAACCTTTTTTCTCAATTCCAATAATTCAACACACTCAAGAGGGGACAGTTGATGTTACCAGCAACAGAAAAAAAAAAAGTACTTATGGCAATTGGATGCAACTTGACTAAAACAATGCATCAGTCCACACTAATAACACATATATACAATCACACAATTATAATCCCAAGAAAATTAAAAGTCCAAAAGTGTTTAAATATATGTAGCACGAAAATTGAAACATTCTTCTACCTCCAAACAGTGACTCACGATTGGGGAAGGTTGATGTTACCAGCAACAGAAAAAAAAAAAAAAGTACTTATGGCAATTGGACGCAACTCGACTAACATAATGCATCAGTCCAACACTCATAACACATATATTCAATCGCACAATTATAATCCCAAGAAAATTAAAAGTCCAAAAGTGTTTAAATATATGTAGCACTAAAATTGAAACATTCTTCTACCTCCAAACAGTGACTCACGATTTACTTCCACACAAAGCAACTAAAAAAGTCCAAAAAGAAAGTCCCAACCACACAGATTGGAACTTTCAATTGGGTTCTTTTCTTATCAGTAAGCTTTCAATTGTGTTTCTACCGCACTCGCAAATTAAAATTCAGACTTAAGGCTTCTACCTCAATTACTAATAATAAATAATTCCAAAAGAGAAACTGAAAACTCTATATCCAGCAAACTAACAGTAAAATCATTAATCTACGGTGACCACTAGCTAAAAAAAATTAAATTCAATGATCAATTCTCATCGTCACAGACCAATATATACTAACTCTGAAATTCACACAAAACATTGACCTCAAAAACAAAGCTAAACCAATATTCAGAGCAATAATCCCAAAAAAATTTTAAAAAAAAAAAATCAAAGCTTTAGACAGTATTCTAAGCATCCAAACAAAACCCTACACCAACGTAACATGAAAATAACACAAAAATTCACAGAATTGAGCATATGAATTTCCCAAACCCTAGTTGAAGCAAAATAAAATTCTAGGGTTCAAGAAACCTCCTCAAAATACAACACAAAATTGGACACCAGCATTCATCGATTCAAAGGAGAAAAAGGA